AGAGGGTCAGAGGGAGAAGCAGACTCCCCGCTGAGCAGGGAGCCTGATGCGGGACTCATCCAGGGACTCCAGGATCACGACCTGAGCCGAAGGCAGTCGCTTAACCAACTGAGCCACCCAGGCGCCCCAGGGGAGCCACTCTTAAGGCGTTGGGAGCCGCAGGCTCCGGCACAACCCCACTCCGGGGGGAGTTTCTTGGAGCCAAGCTTCCTCTCCCTTCACCGGTGCTGAAGTTGCCGCCCACTCCCCCCCCCCGCCCCCCTCATCTTCCCAGACAGACTCCCCTGGCCTCCTCCAGGGACCGCTCTCCAGAAAGCATGGCTGGGCACCTCAGGAGCCCCAAACTGCAGTTCTTAGGCATTGCAGCTTCAGGGAACTGAGGCCTGGAGCACAGAGGAAGGAGACTACAGGAAGGCTGCCCAGAGGAGGGCACCTGCGGGGGGGGGGGGTCCCTGAAAAAGGAGCAGATTCTGAACAGGCCTGGGCTGGGAGCAGGAGGACACAGCACAGCTCCCTGAGGCCCCTGAATGAAGCCAGTAGGACTCATCCCAGAGGCCAGGCCATGGTGGGTTATAGCCAGAGAGGAGTCCCAGGCTGACAGTCTCCCGGGGCCAGGGAGGGAGGGAAGGAGGGGGACACTGAGGACCCCTTCGAGGGCCTGGTTCTCTGTAACCTGTCCTCTCCCTAGCATTACTTCCCCGGTTTTCTCTGTTTACACTGCGGCTTAGGAGAGGAGTCTTCATCAGTGGCACTGAACTTGATTATCCTAAACATTGGCTTTCTGGTGGTTTTGCATCCTTCATGCCTTAGTTACACACTTGTGGTGCCCATCTTGTGTGCCTTCTTTTACTTAGTTCCTTGGGATAGATTCCCAGAAGTGGCCAGACGGTGGAGATTTCTTCCTAGCTCTGGATGCATATGACCAAGTTAATTTCCAGAGGGGCCATACAGATAGAGCAGCGGGCGGATTTCGCAGCATCCTTGGCAGCGCTGGGAGTACTCAATTTGAGAACATTTTACCAGTGTAACAGGTGGGGAGTGTTACCTTGTTTCTTAAATTTGCCTGCCTTCCGTACCTGAGCTTGAACCTTTCCCGAAGGGTCCTGTACCCAGCTGCGTTTCTTCCCTCGTGCAGTCTTTTCTGGTTCCTTGCCCATTTATCAGAGTCTTAACCTTTTGATTAATTTGTATGAGCTTTATCTTATCTGCTGTACATTTTCCTTCAACTCTGCTGTTTGCTTTCGATGGGTTTTAAGCAGGGAAGGGACACTTATCACACCCTGCATTATCTTGTTCAGTCTCCCTGTTTTTTACTGATCTATCCGGCTAAACTGGGAGTGCCGTGCAAGCAGGGACCCTGTGTGTCCTGCCCGTTTGTCATCCTGTGTCCATGCAAGGTATGGAGGCCACTGGCCTTTGATGGACAACGGTCTGGTGCAGGGCAGAGCGGGGTGGGGGATGGTTGCGGCTGACAGGTCTCCCTGGAGGCAGCGAGCGAGGGCTTTGGAAGCTGGGACAGCAGTCTGGTCAAGAGGTGGCCAGTGCAAGCCCTCAGCTAGTGCAGGGAGCAGAAGGGAGAGTACAGGTGTAAGAGATCAATTTAAGTAGAAACTACCTGGCTCTTGACCAGGGAGGAGGCACATGGAGATGCCAGGGATAACTCCCGGGACAGTAACAGGGTAAGAGCAGAGCACCCCAGTTTAGGACTGGAGGCTCAGAGCTCCTGGGTGCCTTGGGTCACGCCCGTGTGAGGGAAACCCTGGGGGGCCCCCGGAAGCTGTCATCTGCCCGCCTAGCCCTTGGGCAGAGTTCGGTGCCAGAAGACAGCAGTGGGTTTCTGGTCTTGCTTCCGCCTCCCCTCCATGATTTCAGTGGCATCCCACAGTAGCCTCAGGTGGTGGCTATGATGAGCCCATTGTATAGATGGGGTCACTGAAGTCGAGTCGGGGAGGACATGACGGTCCAGGGTCAACGAGGGAGTAGGGCTGGAGGCAGCTTCTGGGACAGGGGCACTGGGCTCTTAGCCCTACCCCTCCCCCTGCCTCCAGCAGCCGACTGGCTCGGGGCAGAAGAACCGAGGCCGGTCCCCTGCTGGGCCCCTGACCTGCCCTTGGCCTCTGCCCCCGGCCCCTGTCCCGCTTGGGTGGAAGCCCCAGCTCAGCGCGCCACTTGGGGGCCCACCCGACTGCTTCGCTGGCACTCGTTGGCTCGCTGGCCCCCCTGAGCCCGCCCCCACTGCCCCGCCCCTCCAAACGGCCACTCCACGTCCAAAGGCAGCGGCTTCCAAGGTGGAAGCTGCGTCCCGCTGCCGGGAAGGGGCCTGCTTGAGAGCGGCGCGGGACTCGGCTTCCACGTGCGCGCCTGCTCTGCCACCCCACGGTCTTCCCGGGAGGCCGGGCCCCGGGACGCCCTTACCGGGGAACGGCGCCCCGCGTCGCGCGCTGGCCTGGGCTCGGACGTCCACGCGCGGCCGCTCGCCGCCCGACCACGCTCCAGGTCTCTCTCCTCCTGTTTTCTCCTCCACCCCCCCACCCCCGGGGGCCGCCAGGGCCGGGGCAGCTCCGAGAAGCCCGGCTGAGGCCCTTCACCTCGCGCCACCTCTACTCCCCGGGTCCGCCTCTCCCACGCGCACGTCCCCAAAGTCGGAAGCTTGAACTTGGGGAGCGATTGCAGGCAGGCCGAGCGAGAACCGCTGGAAGGGGGTGTGAACGGAGGCGGCCGAACCCTTGGGCCGGCCCAGAAGGGGCCGGGAAAGGACCCGCGGCTCTCAGAGGGCCCATTGGACACCCGGCCTTCCTCTTCTGGAGGACCTCTCACTCTTCCCTTCCCGGAGCGCCCGAGTGGCTGCCTGGGGCGTTTTCCTTGGGGAGCCCGAGGCGCCCTTCTGCGCCTCCTCGCTGTGGGCGGTGGAGGGGTGTCTCCGCGGGCCCCTAGACGTCAGCCTGAAGGAGACGGGCTCGGCTTCACGTCTTGGCCCCTTGGCGGCCGGGCGCGGAGGACGCGGGCTCACGCTGCGCGCCGGGCCTCTCTCCGCAGCGCCGGCGGTCCGACGTGCCAGGAGCCGCGAGCCCATGGAGGGTCTGGGCCGCTCGTGCCTGTGGCTGCGGAGGGAGCTGTCGCCCCCGCGGCCTCGGCTGCTGCTCCTGGACTGCCGAAGCCGCGAGCTCTACGAGGCGGCGCGCATTGGCGGGGCGCTGAGCGTCGCCCTGCCCGGGCTGCTGCTGCGCCGCCTGCGGCGGGGGAGCCTGTCGGTTCGCGCGCTCCTGCCGGGGCCGCCGCTGCAGCCGCCCCCGCCCGCCCCGGTGCTCCTGTACGACCAGGGCGGGGGCCGGCCCCGGCGCGGGGAGGCGGAGGCCGAGGAGTGGGAGGCCGATTCGGTGCTGGGCACCCTGCTGCAGAAGCTGCGAGAGGAAGGCTACCTGGCGTACTACCTACAGGGTAGGTGCGGGCGCCGGCGCGGGGGGACCGGCCTGGGAAGGGCCCTGGGCCCTGGGAGGCAGGGCCACACCTTCCAAGGGGATTCCCAATTCATTTGACCTTGGGCCAGCCCAGCCTTATTTCGGCTTAAGTGGACGTGAGATGCCCTCCCCTGAGCACGACCTTGGGCAAGCCCTTCACCCTTGGGAGCCCCAGTTTCTGAATCTGGAAAACGGGGAGAATCGGGCTGACCTGCCCTGGCTTAGGGGATGCTCAAGAATGGAGTACCAAGTGTAGGCTCCCAATCCTCCCCCCCCCCATCACCTCCCCATCACCACCCCGTTGATGTCACCACCTCCTGCAGCTGCTCACTGGCAAAGGAGGCAGGGGCCACAGGAGGCCAAATCCCGCTCTGCAAAGGCTCCGGAACCGGGAAGGGGAAAGTGAGAGAGAGAGAGAGGAAAGCAGTGAAGGCAGAAGGAGGCAGAGATCCATCCCATCATAGTCATGGCAGGGCTGGCGGGTGGAGGGGAATAGGCTGAGACAGGCCTCTTGGCCCCTTGATGAGCCAAACAGACACCCAGAGGTCCAGCGTAGGGACAGGGTTCCCATGAACCGACAGAGCCAGCTCCCCACCTCCCCATCAAAGCGGGGTCATTGGACTGTTGTCCCTTGCTCCATTCTGAATGCACAGGGACGCAGAAACAAAGCAAGTGTTGGATCTCCAGGACCCACCCCTAGCCCAGGAAAAGAGTTGTTGTCTGTAGATGAAGGAGATGCCCGCTTCTGGGGGCTTTGAATCGATCCTGGTAGAATGTTACGCTCTCTCCCAGGCTCCCAGCTCTTGGGGTGCTCCTGGTTGAGCTGGATGGGAGGTGGCCACCCAGGCAGAGAACTCACTTTTGAACCTTGCCCCTTTTTAACTGACGGTGGTTGTCCTCCCCGAGGTTGGCAGTACATCATGCTTGCCTTCGCTGGGCCCTGGGGCTGTAAGATCCTCTTTGAGGGGGCTCTGCCTAAGCCCAGAATCTTGCACCCCCCAGCAGCACAGTGGGTACTCGCTGTCTGGAGGAATAGCCAACAGCACCGAGTGAGGGTGGTCGGGCTGCCCCTAGTGCACCCCATGGGACACCAGTAGGGATCAGGCTGCTGACTCTTGAGTTCCCTTTGGGAACATCTGCAAGCCCCCTTGGGTGTTGGAGTTGTCTGGGGTCAGTTCCCTATCCCCCTGCCAAGGGTGCTTGGCCACCCAGGTGGCCAGATCAACAGGGGACTCTCCCCTTCTCCCCTCCCAGGCGGCTTCAGCAGATTCCAGGCAGAGTGCCCCCACCTGTGTGAGACCAGCCTCAGCAGCCGTGGTAGCCCAAGCACAGCCCCGGTGCCCAGCCCAGTGGTGGGGCTGGGCGGCCTGTGCCTGGGCTCTGACTGCTCTGATGCCGAATCCGAGCCTGACCGCGACTCCATGAGCTGTGGCCTGGATTCAGAGGGCGCCACACCCCCCCCCACGGGGCTGCTGCCATCCTTCCCTGTCCAGATCCTGCCCAACCTCTACCTGGGCAGTGCCCGGGATTCAGCCAACGTGGACAGCTTGGCCAAGCTGGGCATCCGCTACATCCTCAACGTCACCCCCAACCTCCCTAACCTCTTCGAGAAGAACGGTGACTTTCACTACAAGCAGATCCCCATCTCAGACCACTGGAGCCAGAATTTGTCCCAGTTCTTTCCTGAGGCCATTGCATTCATTGGTAAGTCGGCTCTGCCCTCCTCTTCCTCCCTCCCCCCACCCCCCACCAGGCCTGGCTCCTGGCCTCTGCCACTCCCTCTGGAAGGCTCCTCCTGGGCTTAGCTACCGTCCCCAGAGCCCAAACCTGGACCACCACTTCTGGGGTTGGGCAGGGCTGGGACGAGCTCCCAGAGGCCACCAGCGAAAGCCCTAGGACTCAGGCAGGACAGGGCTCCCAGGCCAAATGTGGCCAGAGCAGCGTGGCTCGGAGAGCAGGGCCGGGCGGGCCCGCACATCACCCTGCCTCCCACTCTGCCCTCACCTAGATGAGGCCTTGTCCCAGAACTGCGGGGTGCTCGTTCACTGCCTGGCCGGTGTCAGCCGCTCTGTCACCGTCACCGTGGCCTACCTCATGCAGAAGCGCCACCTCTCACTCAACGATGCCTACGACCTGGTCAAGCGGAAGAAGTCTAACATCTCACCCAACTTCAACTTCATGGGGCAGCTGCTGGACTTCGAGCGTAGCCTTCGGCTGGAGGAGAGGCGCGCCCGGGAGCGCAGCAGTGGGGGGCAGGAGTCCTCGGCCTCCGACCCGCCCTCCTTCTTTACCACCCCCACCAGCGATGGTGTCTTCGAGCTGGATCCCACATAGGGCCCCCGTTCCAGCCCCCAGTGGGTGCCCCTGACCACCCATGTGCTGGGGGGAGGTGGGAAGGGGCTCAGCCGGAAGCAGGGCGGGGGAGAGCGCAATACCTCAGGGGAGGGCTGTTGGGAAGAGGCCGGAGCCAGGAGCCCCTCCAGAGTGGCTGCGGGGAAAGACCTGTCCTACCCACTTGAAACATCCACGGGAATCCTATTAAATGTGCCTATAAGCCGGGCCCAGGGCCACCAGCCTGACCCGCGCCGCTTGCGGGCGGAACCACGCTCCAGAACCTGCCTCTTCTGCGACTGTTACTTTTTCCTTTGGGGAGTGGGCGGCGGGGGGGGGGGGGGTTTCTCGTTCCAAGGGACCATTCCAGGTGGCTTCCCTTTCCTGGGCCTCGAGCCTCCCTGTAGCTTTTCCCTTCAGAAGGGTGTGTGCCTGTTCTGGGGACCCGCTCCCAGTCCCACCCCTGTCCCCAAATGGCTGCTTCTGGGGAGGGGTTCACCACCAGTTAGTCGCCTCTTGGGGCTGAGGGCCTCCCCGGGGATGTGCGCTTGGAGGCACACGGGCTGCCCGGCATCCATGTGGACAGCCCGTCTCTGGGTGGCTTCTGGCTGGGCAGCGCCACAGGGGAGGGTGCTGGCCCGGAGCTGCCGAGCGGGTTCCCGGCCACACATCTGGCGCCCTGTTTATCCACTTGACGTTGAAAAGATGCTTTTTTTCCTCTTCCCCCAGATGTCTTAACGGGATCACTGGGGCTCTTTGTGACTGAGGGTGGCCAAAGTGCTGCCCAGGGAGATGGGGGTCTCAGAGCAAGAGCTGGGGGCGGGGAGGGGGAAGAAGGCCTGGATTTTGCTGCTGCAGGTCCCACATAGCCACGGTTGGGCAGGGAGGCGGGGAAGGGGCCAAGCTGCATATACAGGGCTGTGGGCGGCGTGCATGCACGCTTGGGAGTCCACACCACAGTTGCTTTCTTTAATTGTTCCTGAATAAACACTTTCTGTAAGACACTAAGCAGAAGGAACTGCTTCCAGAGCACCCTGCAGGGCTTGGGGGAAGGCTGGGAGGGAGGCCTCATGAGAGGGGCGGGGTGCGCGGAGCCCCACACTGGGCCGGTTGGGGACTTGAGCACCACCCACCCTCACGCCACTGTTTCCCATCTGGCCCCCACGCAGCTCTTGACCCGCGGAGCCCCTACCCTGGGCCACACACCGCTAGGGACAAACCCCTGGAGAGAGCGAGAGAGCAGGGACCCAGCAGTGACCACAGGGCTTGGCAGCTGAGCCCCAGGACTCGGTGCGGAGTCAGAGCTGAGCCTCAGGGTGACGTGATGGGAGCCACACGAGGATGGGAGCTGGGGAGGGTTAGGGGCAGACTTGCATGGGCAAGCTCATGTCCCTCTGGCTGACACACTGTGGAATTTGGTCCTTGGACTGCAAAGGCCACCTGAAGTGACAATTGAGGCTTGCTCCTCCCTGGCTTCCTGGCCTCAGCTCTAGACAACTCCAGTGCCTTCTGCATGCTGAAGCTGCAGTGCTCCCCTTAAGGCCGTGAGTCCTGGGGCGCCTGGGTGGCACAGTTGGTTAAGTGTCCGAGTCTTGGTTTGGGCTCAGGTCATGATCTCAGGGTCATGAGATCAAGCCCCGGGTCGGGCTCCATGCTCAGTGGGGAGTTGGCCTCTGCCCCTCCCCCTCCACACACTCGCTCTCAAATAAATAAATCTTGAAAACCATGATTGCCAACCACAGAGACATGGCAAGAACCAGGAGCCCAGGCCACCCCTCCTCCTTGGACACCGTCTTCCTATAGCTATCCAGACACCTCCCATGGGGGCTGGGAGATGACACCTGGGCCCCCACATAAGGCCAGTATGCCTGAAGGGCAATGTTCTCAGTAGGCATGGTCAGCAGAATGCTGGCCCCCCACAGGTGGCCACATCCTAAACCCGGGCCCTTGTGAATACGTTACCTTAAGTGGCAAAAAGGACACTGCAGATGTGATTAAGTCAAGGCTCTTGAGATGGGGAGACTGTCCTGGATTATCCAGGTGGGCCCGAACACCATCATATGCATCTTGACAAGGGAAAGAGGGACACAGGAGAGTGAGAGGAGGAGACATGGCAATGGCAACAAGGGTCCGAGCCAGAGAGAGAGATGGGAAGAGGCTACATTGCTGGCTTTGAAAATGGACAAAGGGGCTGCAAGCCAAGGAATGCAGGCGGCCTCTAGAAGCTGCAGAAGGCAAAACAACAACAGATTCTTCCCTTGAGTCTCCTGAAGGAACACAGCCCTGCCAACAGCTCGGGTTTAGTTCGGTGAAATCTGTGTTGGATTTCAGGCCTCTGGAACTGTAAGAGAATCAATCGTGCTGTCTAAAACCACTGAGTCTGTGGCAATTTCATGCAGCAGCAGCAGAAAACAAATACAACTGGTGACCCAGGAAAAAAAATAGCCCACCAAAAGAGGGGAGGATGCTTGCTTCTTTTGACCTTGGATCTGAGTAGAAGTGGGGAAAAAAGGGAAATTTGGCCCTCAAGCATTTATAGCCACAAGGTGAAATTTTAAGTGAAAGGATCTAGGCATAGAGTACTTGATGCTCCAGAATTTTCTTCTTGGAGGAACTAAGGGACAGTGATCTGATTGGGAGCACAGCTCCGGGATTTGTCTGGAAGCTTCATTTGCTTAGCTTGCACACAGGTTTTATTTAGATTGGAACAGCCCAATAAAAATAGCAAAGTTTTAAAAATACATGTTTTAAAAGTTCTAAGTGAAGTGGTCCAGAGGGACTATTGCCCAAGAATGCAGCAGAATCCTCTGTGCAGGGGTGTCCTTTCAATACAGGCCTGTAAGGTGGGCTAGGATGACTAGAAGGGGCTGTAGTTGGCTATTTGCCTTCTGCTAGACTCTGATAAAGCTCCAATAGGTCAGGATCTGATGTAATAGTTTGTCCTAAGGGCGGGCCTCAATAAGAACAGAATGCTCTGGTGTATTTCAAAATGTCTACATTCCCCCTCCCGCTGCCAGAAGCATGAGACTTTTCTCGAATCTTCACTGTGCAAACCTGGTAGGGCTCCTGGAGATAAAATTCATAAAAGTGTGGGGGCCTCCTTAAGATCAGGCCCCTCCTGGATTTTTTTTGAACTCTCAGACGTGTCCACACTGAACCTCAAGCAATTCCTCAATTAAAGTTCAAGTTTTCCTACCCCAGCACTGCTCTGCGAAGCTGTGATTCTTTAGCTCTGCCTGTCCAGTGTTTGGAGCAGTGGTTTGCCCTGTGACCTCACTTCTCTGATGGATCTGAGAAGAGCTGTTCATTTTTCAGTGTGTTCAGCTTTGTACTTGTTCACGGCATGCAGTGGGTGACATCCAAGCTCCTTCCATGCTGACCAGAAGCCGGAACTCACCTGGGTCTGTTGTGATTGGCTGATTTTTTTTTTTATCATTATGGGTTACATTTTATGTTTCCTCTACTTGAGTCAGAAAGCCTGGATGGTGAAGCTCACTAAATTTGTTTCAGGGTCTTCAGAGACTATTGTCCCCCATCTGAAAACAGTTGATTCATATATTTTGCCAAGTTTTCAAGTTATGCTTGGTGGGAAGGTAAATTCTGGACCCTGTTACTCCCTCATGACCATATCAGTATTGAATAATTTTAAGCTTTGTTAAGATAAATATGCATGCTAAATTTTCTAGAGTGATGGTTAAAGAGTGTACTACTTCCAAAGTAGTACAGGAAAAATCTCAAATATTGAGGAAAAACTCTCAGTCCAAAAGAAGTCAAGGAGGAAAATAAAGAAACAAACATTGGAATAAGTAGAAAGTATAAAATAAGATTTTAGAAATTAATCCAGGGGCGCCCGGGTGGCTCAGTCGTTAAGCGTCTCCCTTCAGCTCAGGTCATGATCTCAGCATCCTGGGATCAAGCCCCACATCGGGCTCCCTGCTCAGTGGGAAGCCTGCTTCTCCCTCTCCCTCTCCCACTCCCCCCGCTTGTATTCCCTCTCTCACTGTCTCTGTCTGTCGAATAAATTAAAAAAAAAAAAACTTAAAAAAAAAGAAATTAATCCAAACGCCACTTAAGCAAAATAAGTAGACTAAATTCTCTAGTTAAAGACAGGAGTTTTTGGGCTCCTGGGTGGCTCAGTCGTTAAGCGTCTGCCTTCGGCTCAGGTCATAATCCCAGGGTCCTGGGATTGAGCCCCACGTCGGGCTCCCTGCTCAGTGAGGAGTCTGCTTCTCCCTCTCCCACTCCCCCTGCTTGTGTTCCTGCTCTCGCTGTCTCTCTCTCTCTGTCAAATAAATAAATAAAATCTGTAAAAATAAATAAATAAATAAAGACAGGATTTTTTTTAAATCCAGCTATAAGCCATTTATAAGAGACACATCTAAGTAATAGGACCAAAAAAAAAAAAAAAAAGATTGAAAGGTCACCAGCTATGACCAAGTGAGGATATAAAAAATAATCTCCGCCCCCCCCCCAAAAAAAAAACAACTATAAGGGAGCGCCTGGCTGGCTCAGTTGGTAGAGCATGCAACTCTTAATCTTGGGGTCATGAGTTCAAGCTCCACATTGGGAGTAGAGTTTACTTAAGAAAAAAAAAACAACTATAAAGTTATACAAAACTGATAAAAACAACCTTGATGATCTGGAAATCAACCAAAGATATATAATAAACCAAGAAGATAAACTTCGGGACTCTGTGGCATTCTGGCCTAGGTTTGCTCTCGTCCCTCCCAGCTTGTTTGGGCATGGGCCAGGGCAAGGCAGCCCATGGAGACCAGCAGCTTCTCTGCCTAGGTTTGAGGAAAGCTAACTCAATCTGGAGTGGTGGATAATACCTACATCCAGGGACATTCTCAGTGGAAGTGACTTCTCAGAAGCAAACCAGCCAGGGAGGGCCAACAACGCAACTCTACTAGACTGAGACTGTGAATGTGCTTGGGGCAAGCATATTCCTGGCTAACTGGAAAATGAAGAGGTCTCAAACTATTCATGCTCTCCTGGAATATCTTGAGGCTACACATAGGCTATATAGGAGACTCAAAAGGACCCAGTGGAAAGAAAGCCCAAGGCAGACCTGCAAATAGCCTGAACACTCAAAGAGCTCCCTTACCCATGCACAGATCCAACAGCAGTGTACAGATGCCTTACTAGCTGAAGCTGTTTTTAGCAGTTTCCATCCAATCAATGGCCAACCATTAAGCTAGGCAGATACAGGGGCAGCCCCTACAAAACCAGGTTTAAATTTTTAAACTACAATATTTTTAAAAAAAAAAAACAAGCAGAGGGGCATCTGGGTGGCTCAGTTGGTTAAGCATCTGACTCTTGATCTCAGCTCAGGTCTTGATCTCAGGGTAGTAAGTTCAAGCCCCACGCTGGGCAAGGAGCCTACTTAAAAAGGCGAGGGGGGCGGGCACCTGGGTAGCTCAGTTGGTTAAGTCTCCAACTCTTGATTTTGGCTCAGGTTGTGATCTCAGCGTCATGAGCTCAAGCCCCACCTTGGCTCTGCACTCAGCCGGAAGTCTGCTTCTCTTCCTCTCCTTCTCCCTCTCCCTCTGCCCCTCCCCCTGCTCATGCTCTCTCTCTCTCTCTCTCTCTCTCTCTCCCAACAATGTCTCTCAAATAAATAAATAAATACAAACAGACACTAGTGACTGTACACTGGAGGGGACAGATTTCACAGATTAAGTCCAGAAAAGTTACACAACAAAGAAGAAAACAAGTGACAACACACACACATACACACACACAGCAAAAACAACCTCTAGAGGGAAAGGGAATATCAGAATTCACCGTTGCTGAAAAATATCATCCAAAATGTTTGATTTTTCAACCAAAAAAAAAAAAATTTACAGACATCCAAAGAAATGGCAAAGCATGATCCACATTCAGGAAAATAATCAGGCAATAGAAACTACCTATGAGTGTTCCCAAGTGTTGGAATTA